TCCACGGAAGCTAACGTTTCACCCCAGCCACCCAAACAGCATGACAGTTTCATCCCTCCTTACCCTCCCGCCATCATTCCAACGTCTCGTAAAGCGCCCAGAAGGTCTAAGCGACCGTTCCTGTATGATCTGCGTATCGTGATATGCCTTCAAGGGCGCCTGAGCGCCAAGGTATCCATTCTCTTCACGCGCCCGTTTCCGCCATGCTCGAAGCAGGCGTGTGGCCGTGTTTTCCAGGCCGACGCAACCGATTGTGTTGTTTTGTGTTTGTCTCGTGTGTTTTCTACCGGTGGAACTTTTGCGTTGGATGAGGGAATTGGGGCAGATGCAGGATGCAGTACGGGTGTTGCGGCCAGGGAGAGCAATGCATCGTGAAGTCCTCGCTGGGCCGAGGCCAACATCTACGCCTGCGGAGTTTCCTGAGGCAGCGTGTATAAGAGAGGCCTGGTACCGCGCCGAATAGTAGCCTCATCAGCATCTTCAACCACAGTCTTCTCTACCTAGGTACTACTCTCTACTTCGCTCTCTATCCAATTCTATTCCTTCCGCTGGTCGGTTCTTCATTATCAATAATCCCTTAACATAAACACTATTACCGACACCTTCCAACCCACCAGCCAACCAACTCAACCGCAAAAATGAAGTTCACCATCTCCGCCATTGTCCTCGCTCTCTCTGCCCTCGCAGCTGCCAGGCCTCAAGGCGCCAATGACAACCGTCCCGTTCCCGAAGGCGCGTGCTGTGTCGCAAACACCAGCTTGAAGCAGGATGTGTGCACTGTCAATGGACAGAGCGGCCGATGTGTCCCCGACAGCGTCAACAACTGTAAGTAACCCAGATATCATGATCCATAAATGAGCGTTCGGAGCTAATCGCATGACATAGGCGGCGCCCAATTGACCTGCATCGAGGACAGCCGATTGAACTGCGACCCCGACACCCTTGAGAGGGGCCGCCCTCTCTGCCGCCGCATCCAGGGCGCGTAAACGACTGGCGATTGGTTTCGAGTTTGGAGCAACAGTAAATATGTTTATATTATAAAGATCAGTATGAATTGGATTGGACTTAGTAGTGGTAGGAGGAGCTGTGGTATCCGGGTCCGATAGTGGTATAGGCTACATCGGCTGACAATGAAGATGCTGTTTCACCTTATTGGTTCTTTCTGGGTGTCTCCGTGATGATCTGTTGTAGTGTTTGTGGACTTTGAGGTTGCGAGAATTTCCTATGAGCCTCTTGACACTCATGTCTAGTTCACTGGCGTTTTCCTCATGATCTAGTAGAAACTCGCGACAGATCGGTGTAGAACAATGTAGCTGCCAGACTGCCTTGTTTGTAGTTTCTTGAAACAGCGAACAGTATTACTATAAAGCTTTGGGGGTACGTAAATACATGCAAATGCGCTGCATTGTTGCTCATTTCCAACCGATCTTCACGGCTACCTGGTCACTTGATACACATCTTTTGCTTCGCACACGTGCACTCTGTACAGTTTCCTACCGCTAATTAGAGCCTAAGTATCCTTCTCGTTGGCGCCTCAACCACGACTGTTCAGCGCGTCTATCCAAACGGAAATTAACTCCGCAAGGAACAACGATAGCACACCAAGACTCCTGCGACAATCAGACATGCCCGGTAACTGGATCGATGGCCGCATATCAATGCGCCTGGATGATGCTCTAGCAGCTGCAGATCGGCATTTGGCAGAAGACAACGAGCCTCAACGACCTGAGACTGTGCATGACGATTTGAAGGAGCTGTTTGGAAGCATTGATCTGAAGAGACTTTCTTATCGGCCGCAACCCCACTCATCTACTTTCGCGGCACCTGAGGTGTTGCGCGAACCAATGCCCGAAGAAGAGGATGTTAGCTTCCAGATTCTCATACGCAGTGCAAAGCGCGTACTGCCCAACAGATTTTGGGCAAAGTTGGAGAGACTTAGTAGAGAGTTGAGACGCCAAGGCATAATGTTTCTCACATTGGTAGATGCTGCGGCCTGTTTACCGGAGAAGCAGTGGTCATGGACTGTAAAGGAGGCAGTCAGCACAATATACGCGCTCAATGATGGTTGCAGAGAGGTAATGGAGAGCCTATGGTACCAGTACCTTAGTGACACCGACGGGCCGGATGAGAAGGCCAGAATTATTCACCTAACTCGTAACGCTAGAGCTTATGTGTTAGTAGTTCAACTTACCTCCTTTGTCGGCCGTCTGGAAGGCAAGCTCATGGCTGAAGTCGACGCTGATGTGGAACGCAATACTTCGGCTCTCGGCGTACCGCCCAATTTCGATATCTTCGATGAGTTAGAGCAACTGGAACTACGCATCGAGACGAACCAAGACGAGTGTTTAGAAGCTTTCGAAGACGGCGCTCAGATGGAATGGCGCGGGGAACCGATCCCGGTCGAAAATGTATCAGCTCCCATAGAAGGCCTCACTGATGCCGACTGCGCCGTGTGCCAGGACGCACTTACACCGCCAGGCGTAGTCACAGCATGTCAACACAGCTATTGTCGCACTCACTTGGAGCAATGGATCCATGCTGCAAGGGAAAATAGCCATCTATGCTGCATCTGTCGTAAGGTACTTTTCCCTAAGCCCAACTATCGGATTAAAAGTCCGGAAGGTGGTCGCAACTATCAACATGAGATGGAATGGTGGGATAGGGCACTGGACAACGTGTGCGTCGTAAAGCATTTGGCGTCATGGCTGGAGCAAGAGCGACAACTTCAAATCACGTACGAGTGAGAGACGGTATGAGTGCGCTCTGTCTTCGGAGCGACACTGGGAAGCGGTAGGAAGGGTCTTTGCGTATGATCCGGCGCCGGAAGCTCGGGTTTTGGTTTCATGGCTCGACCGAGGATGACCTGAAGTACAACAGACTTTTCACAGGAGCATCTGTCAAGGCCGAATTAGTTCATGTAGCGGAGTCGATATGCTTGATGACATGCGTAATGAAGCTGAATAGTCGGGAATGGGTCTGTGCCTACGGTGTTGCAAGAAGGACCGAACATGATTTGCCGTTCGTCGACTAGAAGTTTCCACGTCTCGGCGGTACTTCCATGGGAACCCGGATGAGTGCAGAATAGCGAATGTGCAGGAAGTTCCTACGGGTGTTGGTATGGCAACTGTACACCTGCATTCTTTGACGCGTCAGGCTCGCGTTCGTATGACGTCATCGGCAGTGATACCTCGTCGGTCACCTACCTGAAATACCAACAGTGCTAGAGATTGGACAGATTGTGCGGAATTGCAGCTGGGCAAGACACACGTCTATCAGAGCAAGGAGGAATGCAGAGTGTTGGTGAAATTCTTCTCCTTACATGGATGCATGACAGGGTTTCTGGTAGCGCCAGGGGTTTATCGATAACGGTGACCTCGGGAACGTGACACTTATTTCTTTCCGTGCGTTACGTACTTCAAACGAGGGCGGTCCCGCATTCACAATCGATTCGGCGTGCGCTCACTGACATTTGAACTCGCCACTAGCGATTACTTATCCCAATCTCAACCCAACGCTCAATTTCCGAACGAAGTAGCCTATCGCACGTAGCGCGATATCAAAAAGCGTCTTCTCAATTACAACAACCGCGGTTTCGGACAACGCGAGAGAATGGAAAAAGGTTACCCATTGTGCTATCCTAGCCGTGACTTCAAGCTTGTATAGTAAGTTGTGTTCCCTGTGGTATTAGTACTCTGAGTACGAGAGAACTGACGACACTCTAGCCTGAGCGAGGCCTTCTGCAACGTTAGTCTACTAAAGCCGCTCTTTTCTCTTGTTTCATGTGGTTGATATCAGTAGGGACTTTGCTCAGATGCCGCGGTAGATTCAACAGGCCGGTTTCGCGATCGTAATGCTGTTGTCGAGAAAATGGAGCGATTGAAACCAGAATTTACACCCGCAACTTTACAAGCAGCCGTCACGAGGTACGTTCTTCAAAGTGACATAGGCGGTATTCAGACTAAGAAACAAACAGAATTGAGACTATAAATGTCGAGAAACGTTCGAAGCTGTGCGGACAGCCATCGACAGCCCCTCAGGACGATGAGCAGATTTCAGGCTTAGTTACTCCACCAGCGGATGGTAGCTCCAATGCAGCCTCATCATGCTCATCGTCAAATGACTCGGAACATACCGAATCAGATTTCGTTTCTGCTCAAGGGGATGACGAAACAACAGTAGCGCAAAGCCTAATCACTGAATCCAATGTGGGGAGCGTTGTTGGCACATCAGTACCAAGTTCCAAGTCAAACTCTCAAAATGAGGCATCACTATCTATTGTCTCACCAGAAAGAGCACAGAAGGCGCCTTTATCGCAGCTTCCACCGTTGACTCTTCCCTCAGGTGGGTTTGGGGCATCGGATAAGTTATTGTCGGAAAACTTCAATTTCACATTCACTCAGCCTTTCAAGCTCTCAAAACCAGGCTCAACCACAACGAAACGTAAATCTTCATTGAAAGAACATACAAATCCGGACGCCACCAGGTCGGAGTCATCAGCGCAGGATGCTGCACCGAAGCCGTCACCACCTCCCTATCCTTCAGCATCATCTTCACAGGCTCGGCCTGCCAACACACTCGCTGCATCTAGCGAATTGGTTCTCCCTAAACTTGCGCAAGATCAGCCCTCAGCAACTATTGCCGAAGAGGATAAGCCCCAGATTCGCCACACTCCATTACAGAGCGTTCCGGGCCCGAACTCACGACCGACTGCAGCTTTACCGGCCAGAAGAAAACCAGCAACACTCACAACATCTGGAAACCCCGCACCGCAAGCGCCAACGACGCAGTTACCGGCCTCGTCACCCTCTATATCCCGCACATCAGCGAAAGCCCCCACGATGCAAGCGCTAGCAACGCAAGTTTCGGCAAAGGTTTCTAAATCATCGGGGCCTGCATCTTCATCGCTGTCGCAAGCCCTCTCTAAGACAGCGTCTCCAGTCCCAAAAAATGGTGCTGCAGAGAGTAGTCGTACAGTCTTAGCATCCGGCCAAGGAGCTCGCATGGCTCAGTCATCCAGCTCATTACCGCTACCAGTGAAGGATGATCGACAGAATTTTGAATTAGATCTCAATCTCATGGACAGTCTCGTCCCGAACAAGTTCCAATCTGATAACCCCGATGCGACTATCGAAGGTGTCATGAGAGATATTGAGCACGCACCGTTGCTATCGGCCCCTGTAGTCGCTCAGCACGCGAAAGACTTGGTCCCGCAATTCGGCTTCATGGGTAATCACCGGGATGAAGCAGGACATGCCGTTAAGCTGTTTCACAACACTAACGTGCCTTTGTCCGCATTCATATGCGGTGTTCAAGGAAGTGGTAAGAGTCATACTACAGCTTGCATGCTCGAAAATGCTTTGATCCCATCCAAGCACCTCGGCCGCTTGGAAGCGCCTGCTTCTGCACTAGTCTTCAGCTATGGAAGTTGGAGCACCGGTGGTGCAGGCTTCAGCGTCAGCGAAGCTGTCCATCTATCTCGTGCGCGGTCCGCTTTTCCTGGGCACAACGTACGAAGAATCACTGTGTTGGTCTCCGCGCACAATGGAGCGATCGGGAGTTACTACGAAGATCCGTCTCGTAACATCCGCGTGATTCCGTTCAAACTCAACGCCAGGGCTCTCGACATCGCCGGTTTGCGTGCTTTGATGGGTATTGGAGATAAGAGCCCCCCACTCTACATGGGCCAGGTCGAAATGGTACTCATGAAGATGTCTGCCACAAACAAAGATGGGCGACTCGATTACAAGTCGTTCACCAAGGCAGTTCAGAAGATAGATCTAAACGAAGCGCAATCGCAAGCCCTCAAACAACGTTTAGCGATGCTTGAGTCCTTCCTCGATCTGGACGGCAAGGCGGTGGAGCCAGATTTCCTTCCAGGCGAGATGATCATTATGGATCTGTCCGATGCCTTCATGTCATCGAGCACAGCCTGTGTTCTTTTCAAGCTGGGCTTGGACCGCTTTCTGGAGTCTCCCGTCAAGAGTAAGATGGTAGTCTTGGACGAAGCGCACAAGGTACAGGCTACAGGTTCTCGGCCAACGAGCTTTTGCTAACGAAACGCTAGTATATGTCTGATAGTCCAGGATCCAAGTTTCTCGCAGACAGTCTCCACCATACCATCCGTGTGCAGCGGCACTTGGGTACCCGTATGATCATCTCCACTCAAGAACCGACCGTGTCCACAGATCTTATTGCGCTTTGTAACATGACCGTCATCCATCGCTTTTCGAGCCCTACCTGGTATGCCGCGCTCAAGAGACATATCAGCGCGCTGGGCGATGACGACAAAGCTCTCATGCAGCGGATTGAGGGATTGGAAACCGGAGAAGCGCTTGTGTACTGTCCGAGCACTGTCCTCGCGAAGAATGACGACGGAAGCTTAGTGAAAGCTACGGGCCGACTGCTCAAGGTCAACATCCGGAAAAGGATAACGCAAGACGGCGGCGAGTCGATCATGGCCGTGTGATTGATTGTACATGCTCTTAAGGTGTACCTATGTACGTCGAACTTGATTCCTGGGCGTTTTGAGCGGATGGGATTATCATGGAGATTAGTCACTTGAAGAGCAACCAAAGAGTGGGTTGATTTGTAAAGTTTCCATTTACTTATGACTATCAGGAAACCGCAGCATGCGTAGTTAGCTTCATGGCATGTTCTTGTTGGGCGCTCCTTGGCCCAACTTGAAGTAACCTGGGTGTAGCTTCTGGAACACTTGAGCAGGGTCGTACTTCTTGCTCACAGCGATCAGTTTCGCTACATTCGCCGATCCATAGCTTGCCAGAGGATCTTGAAACTCGCTTGCGTAGTTCATGTAGATGTAGTCATTGTCCAAACCTTTGCTCTTCGCATAAGCCTTGACCTTGTTCATGACAGTGGAGAAGAACCTGAGAACAGCAGCGTCATCCGAAGCCTTGTTCCACCAGGCGCTCATGTTCATGATGAAATAGGGTCCCTTGCTGGCGTCAAGACCGAGCGCATTACCGCCATTCTTCTGCATGCCTTTGAGTTGGCCTTCTGTGATGGCTTGAATGGAGATATACGGCGAAAGGCCTTCGACGTTTTGAATGTCCGGAAGCAACGTGTAATAGGTATCGACGAGATAGGTGTAGAGTTCGCGGTCGACTTTGAGAGACACGTCCCACATAGTCTGGCGGTTGCCAAGCTCTTCCTCAGCACTACCGCCGTTCATCTTCATAGTCATGTTGGCCAGCGTGCCGAATGCTGTGTCATCCATCACGGGAGAGAGGGCTCTGATCTCCGCGAATACGGGAGGATCGGCGACAGGTCGTGCGTAGTGTGTTTGTACGATCGCCATTTTTCCGATACTTGACTCGAATCCAAAAGACTGCGCGGGGTTAGATACACCAGTACAACGCCTGCACCACTAGTAGGTACTTACAACAATTTCAGCAGCGTCAGTGTCCTTTGAGGATCCTGTAACGGCGAAGTTGTAGAGTGCATCGAGTACGCCAGTAAAGTTGTTCTCTGTGAAGATGCGTTGACCGCCCCACATTTGGCCAAGTGGGAACGCATCGAGCTTGAAGTTTGTAACGATGCCAAAGTTCCCACCGCCCCCACGAAGGGCCCAGAACAAGTCGGGAAATTTCGTTGGGGTTGCGGTTACCACGAGACCAGAAGCTGTAACGACTTCGTAGGCAGCAACGTTGTCGCAGGCCCATCCCACCTTGTTCGAAAAGAAGGAGATACCGCCACCCAACACGAGACCTGGAACACCTACTGGAGCCATCTGGAGAATTATTAGCTCGCTCACATGTTATAAATTTCGGTTGGACTTACTCTGCCACCAACTACTCCAAGGCCTGACTTCTCAAGTTTGGTGTAGACATCGACCCATAGATTACCTGGCCCAACATTGGCGTACTTCTTATCGTTGGATGCCGCGACGGTGTTAAATCTCTTCATCGAAACAGTGATTCCACCCTCGATGCTCGATGCTCCAGCAAAAGCAGCATGGCCGCCACCCTTGACGGCAAAAGGGCACTGAGTGAGACGAGATATCAAGACCAATGAAGACACTTCCACCGTGCTTGAAGGTTCGAAGATACATCGAGGGTTCAAGGCGCCCTGTTGGGCAGCCCAGTATGTGGCAGTGAAGGCGTCATAGGCTGAGGTTTGCTCGGATAGGAGCTTTCCGCTGCCATATATGAGCTTCAACGAAGAGCACTACGTATCTGTCAGCGGTTTGGGTACAGAATCGGAGTACGAAAGATCAGACACACAGCTATCGAGCAGCCACTGAGTGCGCTCCGTTCCACCAAGCCCGAGAGCTGAGGGATGGCGGAGACGTTGACACCGTTGGCAATCAAAGCTTCAGTCACGTTGAAGTCTGCTGGTTCGAAAGCCCCAGTCTGAGCTGAAACAGATGCCACGAAGGCGCCAAGAGTAATGAAGGATCTCATCCTGGATGCAGTGGGAAGGAAGAAGAAATTTGGGCGTGAATCCAAGAAACCGGATGTGATGGAGCGCAGGTTCAGCCTGATTTATTCTGCTTCGTTTGGCAGATCTTCATCGCGCGACGATTGGCATGAGTATGCGACGTTCATCTCGCTTGCGCTCTTGCTGCCGCATTCAAAGTTTAGGCGGTGCGAGCGGCTAGGGTACTCACGTGGGAGGTTCGAGATGCCACGCGCGGCGGCGAAAGTCAAGCTTTGGCCGACTAAACAACGCACGCCACCTGTAAGTAGGTATCCCTGGCAGTGTTTATATTGGGGCGGCAGAGCCCTTGCATACGCTGCTGTTCGATCGCTTCAGAATTGCTGGTAGCCTAGGACGGCTTGTCGAGAAAAGGCAGGATGGAGAATCATGCACTAATGGCGAGTAACCATGCCGCAGTATGCGTGGGATGCGAGGCAGACTCTTGGTGAAGATGGGGTGGTAGCGTTACCGAGGTAGATAGCGCGGAGTCCCTAAACGCCAAGCCACTACGGAGTGCTCCCCGTTGACGCTGGAAAACTTCCGATCGTGTCGCTCGTCCATACCAGCTTTGAGCGGGCCGCTGCCTCAAGCCGTGGTCTTCCCGTAACGCCTTTCGTTCATGCCAACGAGCGATGTTGCAAAGATGTCCACTTCACTAATACGCCACGCTCATTCATCTTGCCACCCGCATTAGCCAGAACTCCATCCATGAGAGGACTTTGTCAGAATATCTGCACCTACAAGGGCTGCGTTCTCATCTCGCGGTCTGCAGGGGCAGCGCCTCACTGTGCCACCCAGACCCTGGCCGCTAAGTGACCAGTAGGATGCATCCCATGAGGACCAAAGGTACGGTTGCGAGATCCTTCCTCGGACACATCCCGTGAGCAATTCTTGCTGCTAATTCGCCATGGAATAGCCAACTTGGTTCTAGAATCATGTATCGGCCTGTTCGCTGTATAATTAACGCGAAAGTTGATGACATGCACTGTGCCACTTCGCCGCACTATCAGTAGAAGGTAGCATGCTCCGATCGGTTCCAACGACCTGGGATACAGGATCAAGCCTCTTTTGCTTTTCTATCGGCCAAGTGTTCGCTGGAGTGCCCTGCGATCCTTCTCCCCGTGTCACACTTTGCCGTAGAGGTGCATGATGATTATCTTCGCACTGGCATCAAGCACGACCAGAGGAATTTGTAGTTGTTAGGGACGACAGGGTGTCTCTGGGGGAAGTGCCCGCCATGGCCTGACACACACGGTTCACGAAGACCGTTATATGGACTGCGGCGGCTCATGAAATATGCGTCTTCCATGCCCCAAGCTCCCGTCTGATCACAAGACGTCTCAAGTCTCTTCTTTACATTTTACGGCTCACGTCGTCGTTTGATCTCATTCTCCAACTCATTATGTATGAGGCTTCGAAGGCTCCAGTTTCCAAGGATGTTCTTTTACGGACGAACGCCGTCATGCTCGTCCTGACATCCGGATTTGTGTTTGCGCGCGCCGTATTACAAATCGCCAAACGTAAACCATTCGAGCTGCCAGACTTCTTCGTCTATTTCGCGTACTGCTTGTTCATCGCACTATGGGCTTGCTATCACGTCGTTACGCCACCGATATACAGGGCGTATGCTTTCATGGAAGGAGAGACTGAAGCGTACGCCACTATGAAAAACGATGCTATTGCAATGCTGAAGTTCCTCGTGGCTGGTCAGATCTGCTTTTACACACTTCTTATCTCGGTCAAGATGTCATTGATGACGTTGTATCGGAAGTTGCTCGCTGGGCTGCCAAGCATCTACAGGAAGATATGGTGGGCCTTGGTCGCTTTTTGTGCGTTGGTGAGTATGCGAAGCAAGACTTGCCCGAAAGCTTTCGCTAACAGACCTCTGGGCGTGGATTGGTAGTGTCACTAGCACTTTTACTACATGCGACGACCTAAATGCGGAGTTCAGAGAGGGCCAGTGCGGCGGAACTCTTGACGAGGACCGAAGAGTCATCTTCAGTCTCTACTTCGCGTACTCCGTCGATGTGGCGACCGATTTAGCAAGTAAGCGCATTATTTGATATTTTCTCAGCGTGGCGTACTAATCCACGTAGTCATGTTCTTACCGTTACATCTGACATGGAACCTCCAGATGCCTCGCAAGCAAAAGGTTGGTATCTTCATATTGTTCGGAAGCGGTTTCATTTGCATCGCCTTTGCAACTTTACGATGCTTGCAAGTTGGTGTTGATGGTAGTGGAAAGGCTACAACACCGGAACCCAAGTGGTTGATGCTGTGGACTATATTGGAATGTTCAATAGGTATGCTCACTGCTCCATCAAGATTCAAGACACGACTGACAGAATGCACAGCTATCATGATCGCATGTTCGCCTGCCTTCGCATCTTTCATCCGGAAGCGTATCAATACTTCGAAACCATCGTATAATGCACAAGGCTACTTCAAACAAGGAACTGATGAGATCAAGATGAAAAGCATCATTTGTGCCCCAGTTCGAGCCAAACGTGGCGATGCGGATGTGTATTGGGATGATACGCACAGTAGTCAAGAAGAACTTGCTGGGAACTCTAGGCGTATTATCGTCAAAACTACAGTACACCAGAATGATGAAGTTTCCAGTCATCCCTCCAAGCATTTGAGTACCAGGCAATCCTGGACGACAGAGGTACATAGTGGTAACGGAATAGTACCATAACTTAGCTATTAAACCAATCAACACCTCTCACCATCTTGTCACATATGTAGCCAGTGACGAGTGCATATGTCCCTTTATGCAAGATGTCAATGACCTGCTCGTTGATCGGCCATGTCCACGGAACCATTGACACATTCGCCGTGGTCTCCACCAACTGATCCAGCATGATGCGAATACCGGTATGCATGAATACAGCAACTGGACCGATGACGCCGTAGTACGACATGATTGCTCTGAAGGGCCCAGCAAGCATGCCCATACCAAAATGATGAGCATGATTCAACAAGAAGGTGTGGCGCTGGTAAAATTCTGGTGAGACACCCATGTGGTTACCCATCGTTCGCGCGGGTACGTAGGAGTCTGGACGGCCTGTGAAGAACTGTTCGACTTTGTTTGATCCTGACATGCTGGAGAGAGTCAGGCGTTTGCAGATAGAAGATCAGGTGGCGACTGTCTTACACTAAGGCTCCTACGAAGCCGGCTCCGATACCGATAGCGACCGCGCGACCGAATCCGACCTGCGGAAACTTGGGAAAGCTCGATTTCGCATCTGGATACGAGACGGTGCCGGTCGCAGTGTGGTATTGAGGCATGGCGGTTGTACTTTGGATGGAGACGAAAGGACAGTAGAAGTCGCACGACCTGTTGTAAACCTGAAGAAACTACAGCGTGACCCGTAGTTATTGATTTTGTTTGCACCTGACGTGCGAGTTGTGAAATGATGTGGTCGTGGGCGAATGACCAATGACTTCGCTCACTTTGACGTCACGCATCGTCGGGTTGCCAGATCTTCGGAGTGCGCGAGACTGCACAATACACAACATGTCGCCGAAGGTAGTACAGAAGGAGAAATGCGAATATACAGATCTGAAAGGAAGCTTCCAAGGTTCGTTACCACCAGAAATAGATTTGTTGATTCTACAGGGCGCCGTGTCAGTGTCACTACATGTTAACATGTCCACAGGTTGCTATGGCCTCAGACATCGCAATATTGCAGACTCAAATACTGACTCTCTTTGCCTCATTTTATTCTTCCAAATATTCTCTCCTATCGATGACGGTGATATTGCTGAGGAGCTCTCCATCGACGGACTTTCCGCGTCCGTATCCATTCCCAACCTTACCCCCAAGCGTTGTGCGACCGAACGCTGTCAAAGAGTCGGGCAAAATAGGTACTTCTTGTATGAGTCATTTGAACAGCTATAATACGTGAAAGCGGCTCCAAATATTCCAACGAAGGTGCCTTCGGCGCTGATGTCATCGAATGTGAAGGTGACACAAACGCGCCTTCGGCACTAGTACGCGTTGTTTAAATCCAGGTCACTTCCGCACTCACTCAACCACCAAGCGCAGACAAACAACAGCTTCCAAGACACCACGAGCACTCCAACCGCGTCTGCCATAGCCGGGTGCAAGATGTCGTCATTTCTTGACCTGCCCGCGGAATTGCGCAACCAAGTATACGGTTACATTGCTATACCCCACACAGCACCTCTCTCCTCCTACATGGGGCTCTACCTATCCTGTCTCCAAATTCGATCTGAGATGGATAGCGAGTGCGCCAAAGTGTTTCGACAGTACCTCGGAACCTTCCAATATCAGCTCCAAGACGC